CTGCGATGGCACAGTTGACGTCGAGCAGGGACCCGCCTGCGGCCCAGCGCCCTTCAATGTAGTCAACCAGGCCCATGTCCGCTTGCACTGCAGATTGGACCTCGCGCATCTGCTCGACCCACCAGTCAAAGACGCTGTCAACCACCTCCTGGCAGCGCTTCCGCGCGAGAGGAGTAACCGCCAGCTCTCGCAGGGGCCTGCTGCGGGCGGCCGTCCTTCGCGCCAGAGCCTTCGCTGCCACTCCCCTCACCTTGGCCGCTGCGCGCCCCTGTCCACCGGGAGGGGACGTCCACGGGCATGTCGCCCGTGTCGCAGTAGCCGTGCATCGGGTAGCAGTTGGTCGCGAGCGCGAGGGCATTGAGGCGCCTGATCCCTGGCTGGAGCCGCCAGGCGCTTGACCTGCACTTCGCGCAGACTGCTGCCCCCGCTTGGGCATCGAGAAGATGCAGGTAGCGGCAGCCGTGCTTCGCCACGTCTCTGCAGCGCCACCTGGCTCCAGCCACCGCGGCCTCCAGCTCCAACTCGGAGATGTGAGCTGGTCGCTGCCACTTGAAACTCTTGGCGATGCGCCAAGCCCACAGCGACGTCCGAAGAGCCGACCTTGGCCACGCCCAAGCTCGGCACGGGGCACCGCAGTCAAGTCTGACGTCCGTGCCACCCCGATCGGCTATGCGCAAGAAGTCGACGATGAGCCCCCGCTCAGCGGTAGCGTGCCCGTAGCCAGGAGTCTTGAAATCGGCGTCAATGTTCCAGTTGGGCCCCCGCTCGCCGACTTGCAAACGCAGCTCGGCGGGAAGCGGGGCGGACAGAGCCCCAATTTGAGCCAGCCAGCTGCCGAAAAGGAACATGACGCACTGACACAGAACGTATTACCGACAAGGCATTCCAGGATGATGTCTCTTTCTGCCGAGGGGGCGCTGTCCTTGACGGCTGCTTCAAAGTACCGCCTATCAAACCCCATGAGAACACCCCGCCCCTCAGCGACAGGGGGCCTACCTTGCGCTCGATCGGCGCTCCACAGCAGCACGGCATCCTCATAATTGCTGACTTGATAGCGGTGCTGATCTGCGGCCCAGTGCGCCAACGCAGTGGGACTGGCACGCTCCAGGCCGACAGGCCTCAGCGACGGGCGTCGCCGCGGCACTGGCCTGGTGAAGCAAGGAAGGTCCACCTCAGGGTCGTCCAGCCTCCAACCTGGCAGTGGCCAAAGGTCAGCAGCGGCGCGCTCCACGCTGACCTCAACCTTGTTATGCTGACCGATGCCCTCGCTCTTCACCTCGATGCTCGCGCCGCGCGGAAGATGACTGCAGGCGGGCCAGGAGCACCAGAAAAGACGGGGCCTGCGCACCCTGGTGAAGTCCTTCGCCTCAAACAACAACGGCGCGACGCCCAGCGCCTGCGAGAACTGGCCCCTCGCCTCGGCGCCCATGCTGAACACATTCTCGACGAACCAATCGACGCGCGCGCCGAACACGGGTCTGGAGGCTTCGATGAGGGCAGGGACCTTCCATAATAACTTGCCCCTGTCCCCTTTCCGGGCCCTTGCCCACCACGTTGAGGGTAGAAAGATCATGGCGCGGACTCCCTGCAGCAATGAAGACCCAGTCGGCGTCGCGCCTGAACCCACCCAGCATGCGGGTGAAGCGCCCATGGTCCAAGGCCTCGATGTTGCCCAGCTCAATGACACCCGGCCACCGCCGCCGCACCAGCCGCCGCGCTGCCGGCTCCACCTCCGAGCAGAGGTGGGCGGCCACGCTCATGGGCAGGCGACGCGCGGCAACGGCAGCGGCAGCAGCCCCGGCGAACAACTCCACTAAGTTGACGCGCGGTCGCCATCGTATCATCTGAGGCGCAGCGAAGGTGGCGCGCACGGCTTCCCCGCACAGTCCTCCTTCGCCCGTGGCGGCCTGCACTCCCCGAGCGGCGAGGCCAGCGGAATAGCAGATGCCGCCCGCCTGCTCGCTCGCATCCGTCGCTATCACCCCCGCGTCAATCTTGGCCCGCAAGCCGGTGAAAGCTAGGGGGAGGGCCATGCAGAAGACCAGGAGCTCGCCGCACATGACAGAGGGCACAGCTTGCGGATACCGCCACTGCCCAGCCGCCCAGCACTCGTTCAGGAACCCCATGAACGGCCGGCGGAACTCCGCCACGCGCACACAGCGGCCCAGACCCACAAGCATCGCCTTGACCGTGACCTGAGGCTGGCCCATCACGAGTGCTAAGAGCAGGAGCTGCTTCTCAACTGTGACTCCGACTCGGCCGGCCATGCCGTCTAGCCCAGCACCCGTGCGTTCCAGGACGAGCTCGCGGTGCTTGGCCTTGCCTTCAGCAGCTTGGATGCCGCTCCTCTGGTAGGCGGCTCGCTGCTCAGCCTGGACCTCGCTAAGCGTGCCGGCCAGCTCATCCAGGCGGCTACTCTGGACGATCTCCCCGTGGTCCCAGTCATCGATGTAATACTGCACCCGGGCTTGCTCCAGCTCCTTCGCTCTCAGGGGCAACGGGCGGCCCTTCCTCCACTCAGCTTGGGGCGGG